TATTGTGGCGTAACTGGACCTACCTTATAGCATCAGCGGCCTTCCGAAGAGCATCCCGCACTAAAAACGGTCTCCGCAATGGCATTCACGTATTTTAGATGAGGCCTTCCCAGCAGGAACGCCTGAGATTGTTACTAACGCACGTGAACAGAGCCGGGTGAGTCAATTTAGGTCCAATTCTACTCACTTCGCACCTTTCTCGCCCTATCCACCCACTCGCCTGCGGGGTGACTTCGCTTAATTTGTTTGCTATTGACCTCTCTGACAGAGCATTAGGTTGAAGTGTAACAATAACGAATGTATGAGTGAGAAACTACGTTACATTTGAAACATGGGGAACAAAATAAAGCAAAACAAAAAGAAAATATGCTACACATAAGTAATGCAACTCAGAAAGCTGTGGAAGCTAAAGTAGTCCTTGGAATAATCTTCGGAAGGTGGAAATGAATATTGCATTGTGGCAAGCATTCATTCCTCAAGACGCCTGCAAGTAGACTAGTTAACAGGGAGCATCCTTTCACGCTTATTCTGAAACCTTATGTCGCTTTCTTAGGGGTCATTTAAAGGTATTTAAACATGTAGATGAGAGCATTACAAATCTCCTCTGTAGTGTGCTTGTCATCCGATGAGCACAATGTCTAATTTGAACCACTCTTAATGCGAACACAGCGCTTTCTCCGGCTCTAAAGGTTAGCTTCTCCTGTTGCTCCTCCTTATACCCAGTATTTAGCTAGCCCCGGTCCCTTTCTGTTTCGTCGAGTACTGTAACTCCAAACCTCTTCCATTTATCCTCAGAACACGAGATCACTGTGAGCTGTGTAAACCAAAGTGCTTAGCTTCCAGACACTAGGTGCAGCTACAGCTACCTCAAATGTGAAGCACAACCAAGCGCAAACGTATGTTGGCGAAAGGCGGACAAGCAAGAGAGGAAAGCATCACGTGCTATTTTATTATATTCAATAGTGCATAGCACAATAGAGCAAAAATATAGTAATAATATACAAAATGTCTGGAGACGTCAGTGATAAAGCTGCATAGTTTTCTTATAATGCGATGCTCTTGACTTTATACATTGTCTTGTCCTTACTACATATTATTTTAAAATGTGTAGTAGTAACAATATTGTTAATAATAACAATAATAATCATAATAATAACGATAAAGTTTCCATTTCATATAATCAATATCAGAATGTCAGAGAGCTTACCAGCCAATCAGTTAAGGGAGGTCACCCCACAGGCGAGTGAGTGGATGGACTAGGAGGGTGCGAACTAAGTGGAATTGGACCCAAATACCGATTCCCGAACAGAGCCTCCAACCTGAATCAATGTGGGCCTTAGCTGGCTAGTGCTACTTGCGAAGGTTGTCTAAGGGCTCTACGCTGAAGGGACCCGTGCCACTGATCCCAGTAGTTGTACTGGATCCAGTTCATGATGCAGGGCTCGAGCCTACGATAGCGTTGTCATCAGACGCATTACGCTTCCATCGATTGCTGTTTGTTTTGTGCTTCTCACAAAAGAGAGCCACGACGGGTTGATCTCACAGCCAAGAATGTCTCACGACAAAATGGCTGCGGCAGATGCACCAATTTTATGGTGACAGGGAGCCCGCATGGGCGGGGCATCAGTGATTTTTACTCTCATCACCGCAAAACCCAGAGATTACCTAGTGCCTGGTTACCACTCCAGTGTCACCGTCCTTCTCAAGCACTGACCCAGTTGTCCTTGTTACGCATACATTTCCTACGTTACACGAACACATCATTGCACGTATATCTTCTTATTGCACAAACCAGTTTGGCTATGCACGCTAACGCGCGCAGTATATGTCGACGGCCACTTATCCACGATGGAGTCATTCAGCGGAATGTTGGATAATCAGTATAAGATAGTTCTCTCTAAATTCGAACGCTGAACTGCTTAGAGCATCACGATCGATATATTTGAGCAAAGTTATTAGTGGTTGATCACAGCTCCGTCCACCTTAGTGCAAACCCTTCCCACAATAAACTTGTCCACCCTTCTTTTGACTGCTCCAAACCATTTTTTCCGCATTCCAGAAAGTTTTTGAAGAGATGAGTTTTTGGTCCTAGCCCCGCTTCCAAATGCCAGCTCCGCCCCCTTCGAGGACTTAACTACATTTGTTCCAATTCCTCCTACCTTTTTTTTCCTGCGTTCTAGAACGTTTCTGAACAGAGTTATGAAATTTTGATCTAAGTCCCGCCCACTTAGGTGCCAACCCCGCCCACTTTCGGGATTTAACCTCATTTGTTCTTTTACACCTTGACACCTTTTTTCCGCATCCCAGAACGTTTCTGAATAGAGTTATAAATTTTCGATCGAAGC